AGCATGCTACTGGATTGCATCAGAAATTAACTAGGGATCACTCTTACTTCCCTTTGGTGGTGGCTGAAGGTGTTCCACAGGGTTGTGTGCTTGGACCTTTACTATTTAGCATATACATGTAGCCATAATCTGATTATTTGCTGTCATAGTTTGGATTTCACTGCTATGCTGATGACACAGAGATTTACTTGGATACCAAATCAGTTTCCACAACTGCAGTTTCTGCAATTTGAAGGTGCCTGTATGATATTCACATATTGTAAGAGCACAGCCAGTTCAGATAAGATGGCAGCCTTGTCTGGACCACATTCCCTGGGGAGCTTTGAGGAACTGAGCTGCTGTTCTCAGTCACCTGAGCATAAGCAGGTGACCATTGGCCAAGTAACATCTTAAAAAAACAGGAAGCGGAGTCTTTCTGTGTCAGTCTGTGGGTGAATCTGCTATCTGGAGGCCAGAAGGCCGATACTCCATGTGCACTTTTTACCAGAGTGACAAGGACTGACCATGTACAAAACGAACTAAGAGCTTCTCTTTTCTCAAAGTTTTGAGGCAAATCTCAGGATGAGACTGAGGTGCTGTGGTTGTTTTGAAGCTGGTAAGCACCTTAGCTACACAGCTAGGTTTAGTCAGGGACTTTGAAAATAAGTTTAGTCAGGAGCTCTAAAAGGAGCTTAGGCTTTAAGTTTTGGTTTGCGGTGACTATTTTTGATTTTCCCTCACTATTAATTACACTGGTTTTTTTTTATTTAACTTCACAGCTTTGTGCGCATGTGTTTATTTTCCTGGACCTGCCTATTTTAAAGATCCTGTTACAACACACCCAAGGGGTTCTCACAATAGGAATTCAACAGTATTTTCTTGACACAAACAGTGACAAGACTGGGGTGACACTCATAGTCACTCAACAACAGTTTATACAAAGTTGGCGACTTTAGTGTACTTGTTGACAGTGCGGAAATTAAACTTTGAATGGAAGTTAAGAACCTTGGTTCCTTTTAACCATGTGTTGCCTTTGAAATGCACTTTAGGCACATCATAAGGTTATCTTCCTCCTGTCTGTGCAACACTGCTCTGTGAAGACTGCTCTGCCTAGCTGATGCTGAAATACTAATACCTCTTTGATTAATCAAGGACAGAAAACTCTACTAAATTAATCTTCAGCAAGTCCGGAATTCACACAAAAAAAGGTTTGTGTGTGAATTTTAATTACTCAGCATTACTCAGCATTACTGCTATCCTCTGTATATTGCACCGGCTCCCTGTGAAGTTCTGAGCAGATATTAATGTACTCCTGCTCACCTATAAGGCACTGAATGCTCTTGCACCTGGTTATCATAATATTCCATGAGCATAATCTAACTGTTAATCTCACATCGGCTGACTCAGGATTTCTTGCTCTGTTGAAAACCAGACTCTGCACAATGGGCCATAGAGCCTTTTTGAGTGCAGCACTATGTCTGTGGAGCTCACAAGCATAATCCACTAAGTCTCTGTGACTCTGTGTTTTTCCCCCCTCTTTCTTTTAACATCTATTATGTGTGTAGTATTGCACAGCACTTTCAGTTAATTAAAAAGTATGTAGCAATAAAATTGTAATTATTTTATTACAAACTATGCTAAGTGCATCAAACTTACTAGTTTTCAGGGCTTGCAAACCTGTACAGTGTGAGACAGAACAATCACTATAATACTGCTCTGGAGGCGTTTCTGTCAAATAATAGGTGGAATGGACTGAGCAGGCAGTGGTGGGCGGAAACTGTTACTCTGTAAATAAGAGGACGAGTGTGACTCATATCAGTCCAGCTTGGGGCTTCTGCAACAGAAGACAATTTTGGAATTAGAAACTGTCAAGAACCCAGGGAGCAAAATCAACAGCAATCCTGGAGAACAGTGAAGCAAATACAAAAAATAGGTGCTCCAATCATAAGAATAACTGGAATTTTATTTAAAAGAGTAAATACATATTTAAAACAGCGTTCATCTACAAGAGTAATTATACTTGCTTGATATTTTTTCTTCAGGCAACCACAAAAAGAAGATCAGATGAGCTGATCAGTGAAAGATGCAGAAGCCTTCAAGTCCTCATTTGGTTCCTTTTTTGCTAGCAATTTGCAGCTTTGATCTTGTGTGCAGTGATGGAGCACGCCAGACCACAGGCAACACGTGGTGAAGCTTCATTAGCGTGTTCTATGTAAGAACTTTTCCTCTGTTGTCTCTCTTTACAGGATGACTGTGCAATACTGCAGGTGGAGCTTACAGCTGGGTTGCCTGCAAAAGTAAACATTCACACATCCCTTTTCACCTGCTTAACCTATCCGGGTGCAAGCTGCAGTATCGTTTCATTCTTCTAAACTGATGTGCAGCTTGCAAAGGATCTTGACTTTTTTTTAATTTGCAAATCTGTGCAATGAGGATATGAAACCTTGACAGCGAAGCTAAATAGGCCATTGTCTCCCTCATCCAGGTAAGCATGCCAACTTCGTGACTTCACCTAAACCAATCTCGGGATTTGAGTTTAATGATTCAGATAAAGACATGATACTGCTTCCCAACAACCAGAGAATATGAGGCTTCACTATCTTGTTTTATTTTTCAGTAAACTTGCACCCAAGATTAGTGTGAAGCAAACAAAAACGTAATCCCAGATAGAATCTTGTTTCCTTTCTGACAGCTGCATGAAGGATTGAGGATGAAGTACCAGTCTTCAAAAAGAGTTCAACTGATACCCAGAGGATAGCTTACACTGATTTATTTAGGAATCATCAAGTACATCATAATTGAATTGAAACCTCCCATTTAATCATCTTTTAAAAGATGTGCTCTTCTAATTCAGAAAGCAGAACAATGTTTAAACTTAACTAGGTAAGAAGCCCCCCTAAAAAGTCCATTGTTTGAATCGCGAAAGGGTAAGTACTGAAAGCATTTTTTAAGAGGTAATAAATTAGAGACAAGAATAAGCTATAGGAAAAATATATTGTAGTCTAGAGAAAACATCTGTCCTGTGCAAAACAGAGCTATGATTTTAAAGGACACCCGCTGTAATGTGGGACAGCTGTTAATAAGGTATTCTGGTATTAAAATATTTTGGCCAAAATGTAGTTTTGCAGAGGAAATCCAACTGGTAATAGCTATCATTCCCCAGCTGCCAGAGAAGCAGTTTTTCTACACTTAATCAGCGCGAGCCTTTTCTCCAGCACATACTCAATTCAGATTCAGGCTTTCATATTTTGTCTTTTTTTTTTTAAATGTTGAAACGGTGCTTAAACTTAATTGCCGCTGACGACAGACTGCCTTCCAGATGTGGCAAAGGAATTGGAAGCCATTCGCTTTGGATACCTCCGGAATGCCTCATCAGCTACACTTGCAATGTCTCAGCCTTGCTCGGAGACTGCAAGGACACCGACATGAAACGGCATCGAAAATCTCCACCTCTCCAAATGTTGCCGATGTAAATATTGTTTTTGCATGGCTGAATATTCTAATTGTACATCTACATTTCTACACATGGGATTCCCAGGCACAGCTTTGTTACGCCTTTATCTCTTTGTAGCAGTCAGTCTGCCTGTGATCTGAGAGCTATGTCTCTCACAGACTTAAGCTTTTTATATGCTTCAAGAATGATCCATTTTTGGCCAGTACGTTGCCTAAAAGATGCTGTTTCCAATTTATGGCAGTGGAAAATTAAGCCGTGTCATTTTTGTTTAAATGATTTCATATATTTATTTTTTTATTTTAATTTCCCAGCTTGCAAGGGGACTTAGGCATAAGAAGTCCTGCCAATTCGCCATTCTCTGTCTCCTGAATGGGACTCTTATGCAATAGCTAATTACTTCCACTTGGCTCTGAACACAGCTTGTCTTCTCTGCTCAGTCAGACTGCAACGCTGTGCAGTTACATTGTAAAAAAAAATACCATCACAATGAAACATAAAACTGCACGAAGCTCAAATGACAAAGGATTACATCCTTTCTTCAGAACACAAAGAAAAACAAGTAGATAGGTACATAGGTATAGTGGAGAGTGACGCACTTGGGATATATTACACATGAGCTGGACTAATCAATGGTTTATGGGTAAAGAAAGGTTGACAGATGTCTCCTGTGTTGTCTGCACAAGCCAGGTGAACACATGTTCTACAATAAAGTGTAATTTTCTGCACATGTGATGTGGTAATCAAAAATTCAAAAACTCAACATCTTTTACCACTGGACCCCGTCTGAAAAAGTATTTACTTCACAGTTATATTTAAAAGCCAGCCTACATTTTTTTTTAATCTGGGCTTTTTCTACCAGCATGCTTTACATCCCTGAACAACCGTGAAAGGTTTGTTGCAATTCACACTTTTTGTACTATGCAATCAAAGTAGCATATCATAGAAGGTATAAGTTTTTCAATAGTCTAATGTGAGGATACAGTAAGTACGGTTTAATGTATGGTTTCCTTTGCAAGAAATGTGATAACATTCTGCAGTGTGTTGCGTAATATGTGCTACATCCTGTGCAAGGTTCTATACCCTTGCAGCATGCAGCGTTCTTTGGTGTTCTGCACTCTCATTAGAACTTCTAATAATTTATTTCTCTGACACTTTTATGATATGGAAACATTCTTTTATATAGCTGGGCATTTTATTGGAGCACTGGGTGAAATATATTGTCCAACGGGTACGTACAACACCAAGTTTCTCACCTGGGATGTAAACCAATAATGTTCCAGATATGAATCCAGAACCCTAACTGCTGCTCCACATTGATTGCTATATAAAAAGTATGAACTGCTGATTTTCTGAATTCTCATTTTTACTGTCTCTCATCCTGCTATTTGACTGAATCTGTTGTTGTGTTGTTATGGGCTGTGATGATGCAAAAAACACTCCAGCGCTCCCCCGAGCCTGGCCAGGCCTATCACACTGGCCTCCTGTACACTAGTGGAGGGCTATAGAAGCACTGTGCTTCTGATTATTGAAGGTCTGCTTAACCACAAACAGATTCGGAGCTTTGTACCTGACCACGGGTTCCGGAATGGCCTCCTTGTTGGCAGGAACCTGAACTCCCTTCTCCCACTCCTGTCGCCAAGGGTCAGAGAGGATGTAGAATTCGTCTGGACTTAGCTGGGAGGAATCTGGAAGCTTCATGGCGGTAATAAAATGTGTCTGGAATACCTGCCAGAATGCAGAAGGATGGAAATGGGGTCAGAATCTTCCCACTTCTTTTATCCCATTGTTTCTCTGTGTCAAACTGTTACTGAGCATTCCACTGAGAGAAGGTTAGTCACCCACAGTCCTGGCACTCATCAGGCCAGCAGGCCTCCCAGCAACCAGCTTGGAAGCAAAGCAGGGAAGGAAAACAGCAACACAGGCAGTTCATGGAAAATTCAACCATTGTATTATAAACAAGGGTAAAGTCAGAGAAAAGATGTGTGAGTTCTGCCTGTTGCCTTTCTTTTCCCCTAATCACTCTATTTTGCCCAGGGACATTTAGGAACACATGTACAGCATGTGCCTATTTTTATAATCCAGGGCTCAAACAGCAAGAAGTCATGTAGAATTTTCTGCCGTAGGAATTGGCTACAATTGAACATGAAGATGAGATGATAAGAGAGAAAAAAATGCACCTAGAGCAGGAAGATTGGGAAGCGGTGTTAAAGACTTGTCCGTGGTGCCACTAAGCAGGGTCCGTGGTGCCAAACCCACAACAGCCCCCCCTCCCAAAGACATCAGCTGAAAACATTATCCTCCAAGTCACAGAGTTCAGCCTGCTGACATCATCTTCATTATACAGTTTATTGTTTCTATATAAGCTGCCTGATCCCAGATTTATTAGATTCCTCTGTACAGATGCTTTACAAATGTTACTCCTTACAGATTTACGGTTTCAGCCTCATAAAAAAACATCATCGAAAACTCATTTGTCTTTCACTGCTTTAGTGCACAAAAAACACCCAGCAAATACTGCTGTTCCAAAATACCTACACCCAGAAGAGCCTTTCACTTTCACTCGCTGAGGTGCGAGATCTAAACTTAGCAGGCTGTCGCTGGTCCAGGACTAAGGACTCGTCACAGGATCTCCTAGATGGGAGGCGTCTACGAATGGTCGCTGAGATTTATTGAAATGCCAGTTTCTGCTGCTGGATGGGCGCGCTATGCTGCTGCGCCAGTGATTCATTTTTACTGCAGCGTGTTTACACAACGGAACCATAGCTAATTAACGTCAGGGAAAGAGAATTACAAGGTCCCCAGTTTTAGTGTCTACTCTCTAATATTAAATAGCTTTGCCTTCCACACCATAGCGGCCATGTGATACTCCAGCGTGCGCCTGTACTACTATTGTAACAAAACTAAGTATCCATGGCACATGGCCAGCACCAACCTGAGCAGTAGAAGTGATTAAGCAAAAAGGGCATCTTTAGTAGCTAAGCTTTTGTTAGTTTAGTTGAGTGTGCTGTACTGAGAGGAAGGTGTTTAGCCCAACTGTATGTGGCCTCTTATCCCAGTGGTATTCAAGTTGTAGACCACCTACTTGTGCCTCTTTTATCTGTATTCTAGGCTATTCCTCTTTTATCTGTATTTTGCATTCTATCTAGGTTAATTAACAGTTCTAATTAATTACAGACCTAAATAAAAGGTAACTAAAGACTTCTAAATGGCAAAGTTGATTATTTAAATATCATAACATTTTCATAGCGGGAGTGAATCTAGCAATGTTAGAATCAAAGAAACCTCAGATTTAAAAAAAATGTCATCAGAACTGCACAATCAATTTTTCTGTTAGATGTGCATCTGTATCAAACACTACTATAAAAAAGTCCTAAAAGAAAATGAACATGGTAAACTGCTATGACAACTATCTTCTAGTGCATCACAACAGATGTCAAAACATTAGCTGCCAGAGAAAGTCTAATTTTAGCATCCATACGGACTGAAGGATCGACTGCTTGAAGATCTGGAGGAGTTGAACGAAAGCTAATGCCTGACTCATATCTAGGGCAGAGGAAAAGAGGTACAGACTGGCAGACCTCTGGGGGAGAAGAGAGAGCCAGACCCCGACCAAGCCTGGCCATCACCCTTTATGAGCACCGCAATCACAGCTAGCTCCAGAGGAGGGGGGAGATTAAACTATTAACAATGCACCAAGACTGACACTGGATAGTGTTGACCTTATCATTCCAATGCAGGCGCATGATGAGAAGGCGTTCCTGGCACGAGAAGGGACAATGCGCCCAGTCTGTGATGCAGGACTGAACACCCGTGCCACTGCTTTCTAAGAACCCTTTTGACACAGAGGGAATCTTTTTTACAGGAATCGAATGCAAAAGAGGGTGGAAGCCCCACTCCTCCTGCTCCCTGGGTCCTTTTAAAACCCTTGGATTCCAATGGGAATCGGAAACTCGCCTAGAACACTGCCGAAGGACGTTAGCGCAAACAGGCACTTGGACTTTTTTCAGAAATGCGGATGAAGATACGCAGCAGGGGACGGCTTGGATCTGCCCCTGGCCTGGCGTTTTTCAAAAGGCCGGCGACTGGAGCCTCACAACTATCTGGCACAAGATGCCGACGCTCAGCAAGATCAGTTACAAAAAGCCTGAGCAGAAAACAAAAATGGGAAAGCACACTGCCAAAAGCAGAGCATGATAACCTTTCAATCATGTCTGTCCCTCAATTACAAGTACATTACAGTCGCACTTTCTCCGGCAGGCTATTGCTCTAAAAAACACACTAACCCGTGTCGTTACTTATTTGTATTCGGAATTTGCCTTTATGACAAATAAAAGTCTTTTTCCCCCTCTGAAAGTACTGTAGAAATCACAAAATAAGAATGTGGAAAAAGTGGAGAAAGGTAAGCCTGCATGCATGGAATAGTATCAGTCTGTTAGACAAGAAAACAATCATTGTGAAAGTCAATAAGACAGTTATTTTCATAACTGTTTCTACATGAACATCCTTCATCCCACTTCAGCAGTCATTTTATTTTGTTTACCACATCTATCCATTTTGTGACATGAAAGCAATTTAACTAATTCAATGGGAGCTTTCAGTATGACACCTACACCTTTTGAAATGACGAGACCATACGTCAGTGTTCCTTCCTCGTTCTCTAAACCGTAATAAGCGCTTGGCCAATCGGAGTCCTCTGCTCATATAAACCATCTAACAGAGTGATTCTTCCTTTTTTTAAATCAGTGCCTGTCTCAATGCACAAGTTACATAAAGCATACCTACAACCTTGCATATCTCTATTTCTCTTCACTGGAAAAAAATCTCTCAAGAATGATGACAGATTGCTAAGCCAAGGTTTTAGTCACTCACTGAAAGATAGTAATGCTTGACACTCAAAGATTGTGACCTGCATTACACCGTGACTGTGAACAACAAACCATTAAGATGTAAGTGCACAGGCACAGGTAATCATGTCTGTCCCTCAATTACAAGAACATTACAGAGCCCCTTTCTCTGGCAGACAGTTTAGCTAAAAAAGAAATACACTAACCCTTATTGTTCTTATTTACATGTTTTTTTTAATTTGCCTTTATGGCGTATGTACTGTAGGAATGGCATGTTGGCACAGTGGTTAGCATTGCTGCTTGGCAGCACTGGGGCCCTGCGTTTAATTCTGAACCTGGGGAACTATCTGTGTAGAGTTTTGTATGTTCTCCCTGCGTTTGAATGGATTTCCTCTGGGTGCTCCGGTTTCCTCCCATAATCCAAAATGTACTGTTAGGTTAACTGGTTTCTGGTGAAATTGGCCCTGATGTGAGTGTGTGTGTCTGTGTCTGCCCTGTATTGCATAAAACAGTTAGAAAATGGATGCATGTACAGTATTATGCCACAAAAAGCCCTGGCCACTTTCTAAAAGTAAAACAGATTTAATGATGTTACAAAACAGCAACATCCAAACCTATAACAGGTTTGATTTCTTAAGCTTATATACCAGAAGGCATATTTATAGACCTACCACACATTTGAATATGAAGATATTTTTTGGATGCTGTTGCCTACAGTATATTCTCTGAACATCAAAAGTAGATGCCAGATAATCTGAAAGTCCACCTAAAGTTATTTGCACACGTCTGATGGATCTAACTACCTCCTCTAGTTTCGTACAGCTGTTTGTGTCTCATTTCCATGGATCTGCACAGCTGTTTTTGCCGAGCTTAATAGGCTCCAACAGCTGTCTGCTTCCAGTTCTATGGGTGTATGCAACTGCTGGCATCTGGATCTATTGATTTTTACAATCAGTGGCATCTAGCATCAATACGTTTGTACGGATTGTGGCATCTGTTTTCATTCAAACAGGAGCAAAGAGACAGAGGAATTAACATGGGAACTGTTGCGAACCAAAACGACAGTCTTGTAATAAAAGCTGTTTGGCTGCTTCATAATTGCGTTCTACATTCAAGACCCTCACTTCCATATCTTTCCTTTCAATCTCATGGTTAAAAATGCAAATCTTATCTTAGGCAAAGCCCCTGAAGAATATTAAAGCCAGAACAAAATAAAAACTTGATGCTGCAATGTATTGCTGGTAAAACTGCTTAAATGACAAGAGGTGGACCAGCTTTCTGCTACTGTAACATTCTTGTTCACTTGTAGAGTAACACATATAAACATAAAAACACTTAGGCCTAACTTACAGTTGCAATAAATTCATAAAATCATAAGGAAAACAAAAAACGTAACATGCACTGACATTTTTGCAACAAATACAGCTATGACATATATAAATTAAGTTGATTAACATTTATCATCAGCTTGTGAAAGACAAAGGTTAGAAGTGTGTGCTCACTGTTGGAAGTAAGAGAAGCTGTATACTTGTTACAAAAGCTTTGCTTGAAGTTCCAGATGCTGTCTTGTGGGATTCTGTCCAACTCCTCTCTCAGAGAGAGAAAAGGCTTCTTCACTGATCTCCAAACCCTAGATGTTGCATGTATCCCCTGCTCATCCCATATTATTAAAGAGAGCTCATGTGTGCTAAATAAAGCATCCACAGAGTAAATATCACATTCTCATTTTGCCAAAAAGGCAATGTAATACAGGTACATGTGGCAGGAGGACACATATCGTTGGCAGTCTTGACTCTAATAAAAGTCAATGAATGGTCTCATCAAGTGAATATGGTAAAGAAATTGGACTTTATTCATGAGGGGTTTGTGTTTTGGTGTCCATTAGTGCCCAAATACAGTCGAGAATCAAAATAAAGTTTGCACTCTGTATATGCATGAGTAATTTGTATACTGATGAAATGTTAGGGCGGGGACTAGACATTCCTGCCCTGATCATTACATTAGGACCTCTCACACAACTGGTTTGCTGTATACAACTAGTGTGTCCTGCATGTTAGTACCACATTTGCTGATGTCCAACTGGGTAGTTTGCATCTATGCAAAGTGTGGTTTGATGGCTAAAAAGCTCAAAATATGGTTCCTCTACTGGAGAGTCCACCTAAGGTGACTTAATCTAGTCTTAATCTAAACTTACTGATAGCATAAAGGCAATGGACTCTTGATAAGGAATGCATACTGGTTCCTTTCTGTATTTTTCCTTTAACCAGGCTTGAAATTCAACAGTTTAAATAACCTCAACACACAACCCAAAACAAATGCCTCATGAATAAAGTCTAAATTCTTTACTATATTCACTTGACGAGACCATTCAGTGACTTTTATTAGATATTTTTAACTGCATTATCAAGGGCAAATATTCTGGCAGCTTTTCCCTTTCACAAAATCAGTTGCTATGCTATTTAGTCTGTGTCTGGAGTCATTTCGCATATGGCTGAGCATACTGTTTAAAAATTACTTTCAAAAACTCATCTTGTTTGACAATGTTTTTGTCTCAGTTCAGTCTTCAGTGCCTAGAAATTGAATCTGTGCCCTGCCCAAACCATTAACTGTCAAGAATGTTGACAACTGTCACAGAATCATAAAGACAACAAGACAAAAGCTTACTACTGCTGAACCCTGGCTATGCAAGCAGTATTGAAACTCCTGTAATTACTGTGTTCACTCCTTCAGCAAAGAAGAAACCACATGTTCCATGAACTCCTCAAAGACAAGAAGCCCAAGAACTGTACAATGAAGATGGGTTGAGTGAGCTTTGTATCAGAATTTACTGATACACTGAGAATGAATTTACTGAGAATTTAGGATGTGGTAAGAATAAGGCTGAGCCCAACAAGTTGACATTTCATTAGGCAATGACCTTAGTAGGACATTCAGTGATGCAAGTGCTGCTCAAGGCTGTGTCCACCATCTGCTCACATCTTTCCTCTATTCCAGAGATTCTCATCATTTTCCTTGCATATATCTCTCTTGTAAAAACATATGTTTTAGTATGGGCACTCTAATTCAGTATATAGAAAATACCTAATTGAGGAATAATAATTAGAAGTTATTAAAAGCAAAAATGCACAGCAGACTTACTGTAAGCACTGTCAGAGCTGATTCACGGTTCAAGAATGTTTTTCTTACTGTCAGGTTTATGGGTGAAAAGTTTTCCTTTGTTTCTAGGGATTACCTGGATTGTCTCTTGGGAGCCATAGTTGAGAAACCACTGTTTTATATAAACAAATTCCTTTCCATTGTACTTCATTACCACTGACAATCTTATGGCAAACTGATGCAAAATGCAAGTTATGGGCATCTGACAGTTGTGTCTTGAGTTAAAGGGTGTACTTCCTGACTAACCAGTTTTGACATATTAAAGTCCATAACCAAATTAAAGTATAAAGTATCTATATTTAAGACTCAGTTCTAAACCAATTGGTAACACTTTAGATTCTGGAAATCACACTTTAAAAATGCTTAACCATCAAGATTATTAACACATAAGTAGCCATTAATAAGGTCTTTTGCATATTTCTGTAAAAATCTATATAAATTTGATGACTAAAACTTACAATGCTTACCTATTAGAGGCTATAAAGGATTTATAAATGAAATCTGCAGCCCCTTAACTAAATTGTTACTAAGATTTTTTTATGCAGCGCCAGTCTGAATGTTCTATTTCCTCTCCCCCAGATTCAGAGTAAGACCCTTGTGGTGCTGCCGAGAACTGACCTCAGAGGGCTTCTTCTGTTCCTGCCGAACCCATGTGCACTTAGTGCCTGTGTTCTTGGAGCACCTTGACCAGGAGGTCACGTGACCTGCCACAAAACACAAAGACAGATGACTCAGTCACATATTTCAAAGCTGCCTTGCAGACAATGACTCAGCCCTCCCTTGAGCCACCAGCTTCCAGTTCTGTGCGTGTAATTAAAGCAATGGAAACACAATGCTGCACTTCAAATGCACCTTGAAAACGCAAAGGAAAACAAACAAAAAAAACAAACATGGCGTAACAGGAGTGCAACTTTGCAAGCAGCCACATTTTGAGTTTAGATAGCCAATATGAATTTAAAGACCGAGCTTCACCATGGATAGGTCAGATTTTTAGACAAGAAGAAGTAGATGTAGCAGAAGAGAAGCTAACTTTCTAAAGATATTTCTACTGGGTCACCACATGTCCTGTGAATTATCCTATAGGGAATAAAGGAAAAACGTAAACCCCGGTCTTTCTTTCTTTTCATCCAGATTTACCCCTGCTACAGATCCATATCCTTAACGTTACCTTCAGGTGACAGTTTCAAAAACAAGTGTTAAGTCCTGACTAACTTTGCCTGAAGGGAAGAAATGTCCCAGGGGGCACAAACCTGCCCCAGGCATACACAAGCACATCTTCACCTGGAGTGTAGCAGCTGTATTTAGTTTAGACTAATTTAATTGTTAAAGACCTTCATTCTGTTATTAACCCCATAAAGTGGTTTTGGCTTAAAACTCTTTGTTGCACACCAATGCACAGTTATAGTCTCTGTCACTAATTCAGATACGACTCCAGGAACTGTTTTGCTGTGAAGTGCTTGTAAAAGCAGATAGCCTGTCACTTCAGATAATCACTTACCAAGGATATGGGAAGCTGTAACAGTATTAACAAAAGCACAGAAAATCCAGGCACATTTGAGAGGTTGGAATTGACAACTTTGAGAGGATTTAATCAAAGCTTTCAGATACTTTGACTTCAGGCTATTTTTGTTTTTAAAAAGACACCATCCAGAAAAAAGGCAATGACCTAAAATAACACGTAGGTGGTTATAGTTACATGAAATTATTTACTGAACAAGACCACACCTCTTGTAGGAAAATCAACACTTTATGAATTAAACGCACACACAGCTGTGAGCTTGATGTATCTGGAGTAATAGTAACACCATCCAACTAGCCATTATTAAAGAACACTTCATCCTGGTAAGGCCAGCAGCAACATGAGCTCTATCCTGGAAGTATAAGGAACAAAACAGAACTATACCACAAACAGAACACCACTACATCATACGGTGGACACACATAACCACAGACTAGATAGTCCCTAGAGCGGTACAGATTTTAACATCAGCAAATAAACTTGTTTTCATAGAGTCCCTGAGGAATCCCTCTATAAAATCCCTAAGTGAGCAGAGCTACGCATCAGTGAGCTGTGGTTCTTACCCCACTGAGCCACCACAGGAAAGTGCTGTGTGTGCACTTGCGGCCTGCAAGGTCAGGACTGCTTCCTGCTTCTTCTCTTAAAATTTTGGGGAGGGAATGCCTGGCTCCACATCCGACATGCACTTCTAAGGGGCCTGCATAAAGGGCTGCTGCCATATAAAACGCCCTGGACTGAAATTTAATCTAAAAAAGCAGGTGCTGCGCAAAGAGCCCTGGGATTGATCTAACGTGTTGATGGGGAGCTCCAGGAAGTTCCCACCCTCTTTATTTGCCAGGCTGCAATAAACTTACGTTAAACTTCCTCCTGGGTGCTGGGAGAAAATGTATTTGAGTACAGTGAAGGACTGCTGAGGTTTCACTTTGAACACTCAAAAACGTAACTTCATCTTTTTCGAAGCTGGGGATCCACTGTTTTATTTTACAGCCCAAAAACATCACAGTTAAATCGGGAATGTAGATCAACAAACAACATGACAAGAAAACTGCTAGAAAGTGTTGCAAATACATGCTGGAGATATGGGTTGACCCTTATTGTACAGCACCTGTGGCAATGCACAGACGGTGCATTGCAGGGGAATGAAAGTGTTTGCTAAAATAAGGGCAGACAGTCATTACTGTAGTAAGTGTCAGTATCAGTTTCAGGAGATACTGTGGCTGCAGCTTAATGAGCAGTCAAAGAGCTCTTTTCCCTGGCAGCACATTGGGCTGAGTCTATTAGTCCAGAGACACCAAAGCACAAACAAGTGCCATTCGTAAAAATACTTTAAGTATCTCCCAAATGCTTGCCTGTATTTTTTCATCCTTGTGATTTTTTTTTCTTTTCCCAAGACTCCGGGAACAGTCGTCGAACAGAACAGAGCTTTGTGTGGTCTGCTCCATTTAGTCTGAGCCCTCCTAACTCACTCCAAAATAATTAGTCTCTAACGGAGGCGATCCCCACTCCCCACCTTATCTTGCTGAAGCGTCTACTTACTGTCTGTGGTGTCTGAGTCATTGCTGCTGGTTGAGTATTTCCTCCTTTTCTTTTCACTTTCCATCTGCAGGAAAAGAAATAAAACACTAAAGTGAGACGTAGCATCATGCAAACTCCATGTTTTTAATACACTATTGACAGAGTCCTAATCCACACTCTATGGCCCTCAGAAAACCAACATGAAGCCAGAGAGGAGGAAAGGAGAGAGAGCTGGATTCACCTGCTCCAGTAGAAGGACCGGTTAGCTAGGAAAAGGGGAGGAAACGTGCTTTTATGACCTTCAATCGCAAATCTCTGCTTTAAAACTGTGCTTTTTTCGCATTTAAACTAGGCACTTTCAAGTTCTGACCACCCAAATACGACATTTAGATTGGCAAAGCTGTAACAGCAGTTTAAAAATAACTTTTTCATTTTCTCATTATCTTTGTTGAGAGCCATGGTGTTGGCTAGAATTAAAAAAAAAATTAATTCAGCAGACTCCTGTTTGTGAACATGCTTCTTGTCCATCCGACGTTAGTGTCCAGCTTGTACATCATACGGAAGATTCCACATCCCTTTGAGCTTTTTCTCATGACCTCAAAACTTCCCATTATGCATGTAGATGTAGCCCAGTACAAATCTGAACCGTTTCATTTTATGCCAGTAAAAAGTGAACTTTTCCTTCAAACAAAGCCCCAGAAACAACAGAATTAATCATAAATGCAACTCTAGCTTAAATCAAGTCATTAATGAAGTAGTTTGCCTTCCAATTTATTCACCCATCTAAAGAGCAGTAATGTGCTTCCAAATGTATTGATCCAGGTGTCCCCTCAATCCGATGCCATACACAAATTAAGCACTTAGCCAATTTTGAGCAGGTACACACATGCCTTCTACACACTCGGTAGTAGTTGGCATTAAATGCTTTCAGCTGCAGCCAAGTCGGATTACATTACTGTGGTATTTGACTTCACACAGGCCCCTCTCCATCGACGTAGTTTATTGTAAAGTAAATACAGTGCAAAACGCTGGCAGCCTGCCTTGGCTTGTGAACGCTGGTAAACTGTACCAGATTAGTGGTAAGAGAACAAGGATGCATCTGCACATTGACCCCAATTCAAAGCCTGCTGACAACTCACAGAAAACTCGATAAAACATGACCCACTGGTAGCATTCAATTCTTCACTGATATCCACCAAGCCTACAGTCCGTTTCTTTACCTTTTTCCTTGCGAATGATGCTGCCTATAATTGGATATACAGCAAATAAAATATCTTTTAGGTGCTGTCATATTTGAACAAATCCAGCGGTTGCAAAAGAGAAAGTATAATTATCTGAAACTTCATCTCTTTGCTCCAACAACCCTTGGCCATATTCTCCTTATAAATGCTGTAACGTGACAAGCACTAGAAAATAGGAGATTGTAAGATAGACAGCTACGTGCAAACCCACATAGGTCCTAAATCACTTGCAGTACTATGGAGCACACATACAGAAAAGAACACTGTGTGTGATTTCAAACCCACCTTTAAACTACTGTACATTCTTCATACTCATTAAACCATTCTTCTTCCCAATATTAAATGAAACCTACATTTTCTGATGCTTTAGTGAATGGATCTTATGCTTAACATTCCTATTATATCATTACATACCTACAGCTGAAAACTACATGCCTCATATTGTTCTCTTCAGAAATGACTAAAAGTTTATACTACCTGAACATCTTACATCAAAACCAAAAACTACTAGGTTTCATACAGACCTTTTAAATGAACCACTTAAGTGGATAAGACTTCAAATCACCTGTGCTTTCAAGGTCTAAATCATGAATTGATCCACAGGTGCTGCTAAAATCTGCAATACCATAAAAAAGGCAACATCCAAGATCACAGTGCAAATACAAAATAGCATACCTGAACCACATGTGAGAAAACACTGTCAGAGAGCCAGGCTCTCATTTTTTTCTTATTACAGTTTTTCTTCCTTTCCAAATAAAACTTTTATTGAACATGTGCAACGCTGCAATTATAACAGTGCCCAGTACAGTGTTAATGCCCTGTGTCCAAACAAAACTCAGGCGACAAGAGAACAGTGATATCACTCCAAATCCCACAGGACTCTGCTCCTGTTTTCACTTCACTAGCACAGAAATGGCAATTGAGCTATTTTCGGAGACGTTAAAAAAACAGCCAGATTGCAGCATAACTGGCATTAGGCTTTCTAATGCACTAATATCCATCACAGCAGGAGTTACTCGCTGGATAACTGACTGTGGCATCAGTTAAGCATCTTGAATCAAATTATCATTATCTGTATCGAGGTAAATATTGCAAAGGTGATGGCCATTGTAAACAATTCTTTTTTTTTTTTTGCAAAGGCTTCAGGCAAATGCAATAATGTCAAGTAATGTACAATACCAAGGAGGGGTAAGAATTCTAACAGATGGTTTTTGATAAAGATTTTTAATGTAAAAATAAAAAAGAAATAAACAATAAAGACAAACCTCTACCGTGATACAGCTTTTGTTTCCAAATATGCAGTTCTGCAACTTACAGTAGGATTCACTTCTGTAATTTAACACTACAGATTGTTACCTTCCACCCAGGTTGAAACCTGCTTTGCATCCATTTTCTGCTGTGTTATATACCTGTTAATTGTAACTAGCCCTGCTGTGGACTTAGTGGTCATTAAAAATGGATGAGTGGATATTATAACCTATACACAATGCATACAGTCTGTTGTTCTACTCCTCATTGGAAAATGTGAAGAAAAAAAGCACAGGGCATGAATACATCAGCTAAAGTAGTTTATCCGTGCTTAAGATCCACACAATTAGTTACAATAAATCTTCTCATTTTGAATCCTACTTACCAGGTTACAGTACCTTTTCCACATTGTGCAAAACTAGGCATATTTGCCTACTATTCTGTCACTCATACATATCCAAGTAATGATTTCACAAGTATGGGACAGCAAGACATTCTAAAATCCTTAATCAGCAGAAAAATGCTAAAGGGTGCAGTGCACCTATAATTAATACTTATTATATTAACTTAAAGGTGTCATTATTATCCTAGTCTATCTTCCGCTTTCATTTATTTTGTTTGGTTGTGAACATCTGACTACAGGTTTTCCTACTGTATATCCATGCTGCCATGTAACAGGTGATCAGTATACATTATAGCTTTGTAATTAACATTCATTTCTTGGATAGTGAGAGCCATAAAACGAGGTCTGTGTAGCATTATCTGTGTAATGTATAGCACCTGAGCTTTTTATTGTTGAAGCCCACTGAATAAGAAGAGTTTGTGTCTCAACAAAGAGAGGTGGACTGCAGACTTCAGTGTTGAGCATGGCATCCTGAAAGACTATCCCTACAGCTGGCACCTGAAAAAACCCTTGAAGAACTAACAACATTGAGGAGAGGCAACATTACAACTCTGCCATTTGGAGGACAAACAAGGTTTAGAATTACTGTCCAGTGCAAATGATAGTATAAGGTGTATAAGTATAAGACAGTATAAGCCTTATTTATTGATCCACTAATCTCATTTTCAGTCACTAGAAAGCAGCCATTTACATTCTGGGGTCAGAATCAGTCTGAGGCATCATCCAAAACTGCTGACAAATGGACCTCTGCATGTTTCAGCCTCCTTTGAGAGTCTGCCAAGCTACCGAGCAGGAGTGCAGGGAGGCTTCGCGAGATTAATCCACAACTCACAGCTTTCATGCGATCATTAGTTAATTAGCGGCCTGTGCAGGCTAACAGAAACTTCAGAAGTACATAAATTCTTATGGTACAAGAGGAATCAGATGAGGGGAAAGAAACAGTCTGGTCATGAAGATGAGACACATAAAAACCTCTAGGCGCGGGAAACATACTGTAGCAATGGGAAGACGTCAGAAGTGTATTGAGGGTGTGATGGCTCATTTGATTCCATTGCTACACACAGAAAAGCTGAGAGGCTTGACTGAAGTTGACTCAGTTCATTGCCTCACATTTCTAGAGTGTCTTAATTCTGTACCGTTTTGTTGACCTTACATTTCCTAAAATAATTCAACTAGCATAACAAGCAAAGAACAAGCATTTCAACAACATGATAAGGACAATGCAATGGATCTCCAAAGCTGTTTTAAACAAAACAACAGATGTGCAATTGCATAGCAGAGCTCTGCTGGTGAGAAGGCTGGATTTCTGCTTGATCAACAATGATGACCTTCTCACAGAGGGCTAAAAAATAGAACTCAAGAAAACATCAGATAGTTTCTTATTTATCAGCCCGTTTGCTTTCTTCTTAAGATACAGCTGTTGCATTCCCAGCTCATTCAAAGGAAAAAAAAACAGCCTGACAAGACCAACATATTCTTCAACCCACGTCTTCAGCAGGTATTTGTCAAAAACAACTGAAGAGCAGTATGTGACTGAATGTACACTTTCTACAGGGATTTGCGGCAGCATTTTATTCACAGATGGGGGAAAATATGATTTAGTAACATTTTAATAGCCTACAGATTAAAATCTACTTGACAATTATAGCTCTGTCATATTAACAGGGCTCCAAATCAGAATGAGTCATCGTCAGCCTATTGAAAATGGCTTGGAATACTGCTTATTTCCAGAAATTTAATGTAGCCACAAAACAAGGTGATGACGTTATCACAACAACTTTCATTAATGTGTATTCTACTGGATAATTCATTGTCTACTCGCAGTTAAGGCTCATGTGAACCACATATGAAGTGAGGCACTTTTCTCCATGTAATAGCACCGCAGTACTGAGTAACTCCCTGGTTTTTCATTCATGAATAAAACTCCCCCCTGTGGAGGAAAGGTGGTAATGGGACATAACTGCCCATTCAAAAGTCTGTTGGACCCTTTCCTACAGTGGTCAGTTCATTCAAAAAGGGAAGTGACTCCTGAAGCTTCAGCCAATCACAGAACTCGAAGACTTAGCCAAACACAATGCTTGCACATTCAGCACTTTTACAGTTGATGGATCTTGATGGACACTTTAATTGCAATAAAACTCCACAGCTCTCCATCTCTGATCCACACAACACGTTGCCCCTATTTTGCAGAATGCAAAATACCTGGAGATGGACGATCAACGGGTCTAACTTCTGCCTTATTTGATCTATCTTGAGGGAGATGAGGGTTTGGTATTTTGCTTAGTAAAAGACAGCCATGTGCACTGATCCTAAGAACGTTTAGCAACAGTCACAACACAAACAGAAGCTTAATAATAGAAAACTACATCATTTAAATGCTATAATTCACTCACATAAAGATACCTTTTCATCACAATAGAAAAAAACATGCCTAAAGAATCTTCAATAAGAGACATTCAAGCAAATCCACCTGACCTTTCACTGACACTGCTGGCAAACAGCACCCATAACTGTTCCCAAAATATTACAGTGGCAACTACTTTGTGGTGACTTTAAACACAGCCGTGTTTTTACAAAAAGTGTGCTCTTCAACCTTGTCACTCCTTCTCTCTGTGCACTTCTTGCCTGACATGTTTTAAGATTTCATGATGTTCACAGATGTGAAAACCTCCAGCTGGGAAAACTGTGCTTTTTTCTGCTTTTAACTGCACTGCAGTAAAAAAGAAAAAGTACTGTAGCTATGTCTAGCTCTAGATTTTGAAATGACGCAGAGTTTAAATGAAAAAGACTTAATGACTAAAATGTAGCGCCAAGGAAATGAGGAGAAATGAAGGATTAGCTGAACTGTGAAGAGCAGACATTTTGCAAACTTTTGAAAGTTGGACTTAAAAGGCAATATATGAGCACACCAACTTCAGATTTAACAAAGTTGGGTATATTTCTCTACCCTGGTTCTAGAGAACTAGAACAATCCAGTAGGACTTTGAGGTCACCCAAAATCACAAGTTTCAAAACCACAAGTGACTGTATGTTCTCCTCTGCTGGATGTTCTCCATGTGGTCTGGTTCCTTGTACCTCAAGAAGAAATGCTATCTTTGTTATCAAGTGTCTCTAGATTATCCTGTGAGGTTACATGTGACCTGCAGTGGACTGGCAATAACTACAGACTGTAGTCCTTCCTATTGGTTGGGACACATAACCAGATTGCTGCAACTATCACCAGAAATAAGTGTCATCCTACTAATGGATGAATAATTTTTAAATTGCTTAATTTAAGCAATCATTGTTCCAAAAAGTAATGATTTTATGGTTATCTAGAAATACTGGATTAGAAATCTCCTGGAGCAGCAATAAGATGCCTGCTTAGACTGTTTAAGGGGGTTAATGTGAAAATATTATATTGAGCATTGCGATTTTGTCTTAAAAAGGACTCCGGGATAAGGTGTAGTGAGGGAATTCTTACGTTACAATCGGAGACAGAAGCCACGTTTCTCGATCTTTCGATCCGATGAAACTCACTAGAAGATAACAGCAAATCACTACACACCACCTGAACATTTCGCTATTCAGGAAACCACAATAAATAGCACAGTTCTAAAACCCCACCAAATGAAACTGATCACTGACTGCATTCGCCCCCCCAAAATGGCTGTTAAACAAATCCCATGGCTGTTTATTCGATTAAAGTGGTTTAATAATATGAACTCAAATATCCATAAGAACCGCCACGAAGCAAGCACAGAAATGCGTCACGAAAGACGCAGGAGCAAAAGTTCATTTCTGAAAAGAGCTACTGTATCGAGACGTCAGAAATGGGAAACAGTACAGCAGCCCTGGGATACAGTGGCCGCCTCTCCTAGCTGAAGATTAACCTTTCCAGCGTTGCGCTGTTACAAGGTATGTCATGCGCAGCGAAAGGACATCCGATGTTGCTGCTGGCTCGGAGTCCCGCCCCCCACCGCTGCGAGCGCACAGACTTTCCGAAGGTAAACAACAGCCACGCCCCCTACAGTCGGCCCTGCGAGCCGCTCGGCGCAAGGAGGTAGAGGCAGCCTCGCAAGCACTTAGCATGTTTTCCGAGATGCCCGCTCGTCGCCTGCGTTACAAAACACCCTTTTCACCCTGCATGCATGTGTGTTCGCCGCATACTCCGGATTGCAAAAATAATTTCAATAAAACTTCAGTTCAATGCATCATACGCATTTGCTTAAAGGATTAATCCTTACACCCCCCCTCCCCATCCGTGTCCACCGCCGCTCCCCCCCGCCCGCTTCAAAGAACACAGTTCTTTGCCGAAATTTCCATTTTCACATGTTTTATGTATTCAAATATAATTCTGGATGTTGCACTGAAGCCAGCGCATTAAACGTATTTTGAAAGAAACCGAACAGACGACTGGGTACGAGAGACGTAAGGCTTGGCACAAGTTTGACATCGACTTTTTACTTCCTGCCAGTAGCACAGTCAATATGAAAAAGGTAAAATACAGATCCATTCCCAAGACATGCCGCTGATATCCAGAGCCCCGCGTTCAGTATTGTAAACGACACCTTTTACGTTTTGCGGGAATGCAAAATACCGTTCTTTCAGTGTCGTGGATATTTTAGCAACTATCACGACAGCGCCGTTTTCATATTTTTAAAAAGTTAGTTTGAAGTATGGTTCGTTTCTGCTTTATCTATGAAAACATCTGACCTACATGCGTATGAAATCTGTCGACCCGCTCATATCCTGAAGTCTCCGCTGCTGTTTATCTCCTTACTTGAAAAGATTAATAATGAGCAAACAAATGCATTTTACCTTGCTTGCAGTGTGGTTTTCGGAGGCAAGGCGTCCTCGAATCTAGAGGATGAACGATGCTGCAAAATTAGGATATCATTGGTAACCACTGACATGTACAGATAATTCTAGTACAGCATTCCACGTTGGTTAGTGACAGCGCTTTGATGCTCTCCCGAGAGTCGAAATAAAGTAACTACTCCATGTATTACATCCAAAAGGGCACAGAAAAATGCATCAAAACCGAGATGGCCGCCTACGCAGCCAGTTCTTAACTGTATAACTGTTATATCTTTTTTAGACTTTGTAGCGATGTCTTCCGATTCCAAATTAGCTGTTAGTCTTTACCAATGTCGCATTTTCGGTAGGAATCCAGATCCAGGATGGTGTCCTGTCTCAGTTTATGATTTCACAGCAGATTGCTTTTTTCCTCTTGTAATCGTGGAAAAAAAAACTGGTGGTTTAAATTGCAGTATACAAGTCAGATCAGGTTAGTTTCGCAACGCTCTGCTACCAAAACATTTCTCCCCTCTCTCTCTTGCTGGTTCTCTCGCTCTCGTTCTCTCCCTCACCCTCTCCCTCTCCCTCTCCCTCTCCTGTGTGATTGCACAGGCGTATACTGGGTCTCGCAACCTTACAACAAAAATAAGCTCATACTTAAAAATCTTTTGGCGCCATATTAATGACGTACTTTAAATTTGCCATTTCTCCTGCGCCCCAAAGGCGTCTCAAATAGCACTTTTATTGCAACGCTGACAACAAAATCCAAAACAACAAGAGCTGTTTTCTCGACTGTCAAGTTTCTTGGGAAAGTGACAACATTAGCTTTCATGGATTTTAAAAAGAGAAAAGGTTATAGCTGGCTAACTGTCCAAGAAACACAGAGCAGCAGCTTCATGACAGGACTTCAGTTAAATACGAAATGGTCTGCGGTCGTAGTTAGGATTACAGAAAAATAGCTTTTAAAAAAATAAAATTAGTTTATTTCCCACGGTAACCAAAGGGGTGTTGCATTATATCAACAGTATAATTTCTAACTTTATTAAAGTCTGCAGTGACCCAGCAAATCACATAGAATCTGTAGTTACTTGTTACAAGTTAAAGTGGCAAAACGTTGCTCACGGTACTGAGTCCGCGCGTCTCCTTCGCCCCCTCCCTCGTCTGATATGTTTATTGTTTGAAATGTGCACGGTGTCTTCGACGTGTTTATGCTATGCTTTTTCTCAACTTTGCTCTGTTTTACCACTGAATATCACAGTAAACGTTTATAACCCCAGCCAGCTCAACGTATTTGTACCAGCCCATCTTGTTCAAGTGCAAATACTTGAGGTGAGAGATTTTATCTGTATACAGTACATTATCTGGAATCCGTTTCTTTTCCCGTAGGTTTTCAGACTACCGCTTAAAAAAAATCTAAAAATCAACTTTTCTACGTAATGATAACTATTAGTGTTAAGTGAATAAGTAGGAGAAAGTGGTTCATTAAAAGTAGAAACAATAAGCCGCCCAGAATTACACTATACCTGCACAATGAGTAAGCATATTAAAATATGCAGTATAGTCTGTTACACCTCAGACTTGCTATTCTGAAGTCAAACATCAAGAAATCAATGTCACAAACACAGCAATGCGTTTCAAAAAGGTCCAAATTCAAATACAATTGTAGTAATTTAATCATTTAAAATTTAACAAGATTCTTTAACAATAGATTCTAAAAATACTGATTTTATAGAATGAGAATGACACTGGAAGGTGCATGGATTTAAGTATACATGTGAATACATTTAAGAGAAAAGGCAGAAAAAGTTTTTTATACCAGATGCAGATTGATTGATTGATTGATTGATTGATTGATTGATCAACATGTTTCATCAGTATTTTCACATACTGATATGAGTTCAATGTGGAATATATTATCCTATCAAAATCCTTACTAAATAAAATCTGACATAGTCATACAGACTGTTGGTCATGACTCATAGCTAAAGAGGTAGTAAATTGCAAATAATTCGGGGAGCAATCAGGTGATACATGTATAGCAGTGGTAAATTTCTAAATGTCTTTGAAAGAGGGAGTTTTGGCTTTACTTATCTTTTTTATCATTAGAATTTAGTTCATTTTTAATTTTGTTTTACTTTCAAGTTTTCTCTTATTAGCTAATATTTGATCAGTGGAGAACGAAGAAGGAAACTTTTAACATCTTTAAAGAGCTGAATTTGTTCTCTTTCATATGTTCTTTCTTTTATTAAACTGCCCTCGCATTTTCTAATTCCTCATTTCAATTATTTAAGAGAGTGTCTGCAAGTAATCATTGTATCTTCTATATTCTTCTAATAGAAATACAGTTCCTAGTATCTTAGCACTGTATCACACTAAAATCATAAGAGGTCCTAATTACCTTAATGTTCTGTCTATGACTTTTGAAAGGAAATTAGCCGAGAGCACAATTTTGTCTTGCTGTCAGGTGTCTTTCTATCTGCAATGTTGAGACTCCCTTTTGCATATGTCATAGTGCTGTTTTCAAGGGCATTGAGAGTCTTTTGGCTCCAGATCAAATTCTCTAATGAAGACAAGGAGTTACTTCTTACTGGAGAATAAGCAAGCATCCCAAACAAAGAGCACCAGATCATTTATTTTCTTTATGATTACCAGTGATTTGTTTCAATCTAAAAAACCTTCAGAGGAGTTTGTGCTGTTTTTTTAGCGCTGAAATATTCACTCTAGCAGCAGCACAAAGCCATTATATATTTTCTTGTATTGAGACTTGATCTCCAAAACTGGAAAAAATCTATGCTTCCTCTTTGATGCTTTGGTTTTACAAAGTGACACTCCATAAATCAGTACAGTATATATGCTTACCATATATGTTATCTTAGAATGGAAGCAGTACCTATAAATTAGTGCATTGCTGATGTAACTCTCGTTTATAAAAAGGGGGTCAGAACTGAACCAGCACATTTAATGTCTGTTACAGGTACAGTTTTGAAAATTTTAAGCAAGAGGTAAATTAGAAAAATGCTTAGAACACAATTGCATTTTTAGAGAAAGCATACATAGTTTTAGAAAGGGAAGGTCCTGTTTTGCTCAAGATTTTCAATCTGGTAATACCTGACTTTGAATATTGTGTTCAGTTTTGGTCACTCTGACTTTTAAAATAATATTATAGCCCTAGAGTGAGTTAAAAAAAGAGCAAAAGGAAGAATGCCTAGTCACAGCAAACTGTCATATATAGACAAGGTAAAGAAGATTAAATCTCTTCAATCTGGAGCAAGGGAATTTGAGAGATTTATCTAAGATTCTAAAGGGTTAAGACAGGGTTATTCCAAGAGACTATTTCACAATCAGTAGTCTTTGACATAGGGTCACATTTTGAAACTAAAACAGAATTCATTTGGGACAGATAATAAGAAATTCTTCTTTATATAAAGTGTTGTGTGTGTATTTGGAACAGGCTCCCCATCTTGGTGTCTGAGGCCTAAATAATTTGGCATCCTGGCCACATTTCCAATGGGCCTTTACCAATCATGGCCTCCTAATAATCCCCATCTATGAATTGACTTCATTACTCTGTTCTCCTCCCCACTGATAGCTGATGTGTCGTGAATGTAATGGCACACTATAGCTGCTGTCACATCATCCAGGTGTGTGTGGCACAGTGGTGGTGATGGTGGAGGAGAGTCCTCATTACAGTGTAAAGCACTTTGAGCGGAGTGATTAGAAAAGCACTATATAAGTGTAAGGACTCTTAAACTCTGGGCACTTTTACAAAATGGCCAGATAAGATTTTGGTTTGGTTTATGTCCTAAAACTACGAAATGAGGAAGTTGAGCCAGATGGCCTCTTCTCATTTGCAGCTTTTCTTATTTTCTTATGCTGTACTAAATACATTCATATATAGCACCTTTCCAAAATATTAAATGATAACCTCAAATATGGGTGTCCATCCACCTAAAGTGAAAGTCAGAGCTGCTACAATTGGTTCCACTAGATGTGCACAAATTTCCATGGAAATAGAGAATCAGTCTTCCTAGAGCACCCTCCTTGTCAGGTGCTTCTTGTAGCCATAATTATACTACCTGTTGGTGTGTTTTCCAAACATTGTAAAGTTTTAATGCTGTCTGATTTGACACAGTAGCTACGTCTGCTGTTGTCCTCCGTCATATACTTTGACTTCCCACTACTTTGGACAGGATGGGTCACTCCTATGAAACTGACTACTTGTTTATTAACATTTTGGCAGGGGAGTAATGTATGAGTATATAGTTACAGTATACAGTATACAGTATATAACAAACTGTGCATAGAGGTTTGTGCCCTGTGAATCTACTTTCATCTTTCCCGCATAAAGCAATTCATGATTTAGCATTGTCTTACATATGTATCACATCCCGATAGGGTGTAGATAGTTAACTGAATCCATCTGAGTAAAAAAAAATATTTCTGTTTGTAGAATGAATATGAATGAGTATGCCTTAAGTGGTAAAGCTGAACCAGGTCCAGAAGTCTTTTCCATAAAATCAATCTTGACACAAGCAGGAGGTTGACACAAAGAATTGAAAATTTCATAGACTGTGTATTTTTGACAAGACCTGTGACACAGATGATGTGCTGGAAGCATGTCCCAAGGAGTCTTTCATCTATCCATTTTAATCAAGAGGCTTCTTCTGAGCCAATACCATAATTCATTTTGACACGCATGATGGCAAAAAGTCGAGTAGCAGAGATCAGGAGTCTGAGAATAACAACGCTGGAAAAGTTGGATGCATTACTCAGGGCAATTATTTGAATTGGAATCATCAGAGGTACATGACAGACATTTGCAGTGTGGATAATAAAAATGTGTTTGACACCTATGGGAGTCTATGAGCTGTTCAGAAAACTGTCATCAAATCTACACCAGAGGTGTAAAGTGAAACTGACCTGTTTCTGAAGCAATGGCCCCAAAATGCCACCACTGATTCTTACCATGAGCAGACAACAATTATGCATCCATTCAGCTTGCAAGAATTGACAAACACACACTGGTTTCAGTTCCTGAGTCTGTTCTTTTTGTGAAACTATTTGGTGCACCCCAAATTAAAATATTAAAATAGTCTCATTCATTTGTTTTTAAAAAGAAGCTAAATGTGGTCTGACTAAGTCTCTACAAGTGCAATAGGGGACAGAACTGGAATGCAGAGAGGAAGAATAGGATCGCCAGAATAGGAGGCAAGTTTTAGGAGCTGCATGATTGTCATAAACATCATCCCCTGGTGGCAAACATGAAACTCTGCAGCTGCTATGGTTCGGGAGCCTGTCTCCCTGTTTTGCATCCTTTTTTCAACCAATTGTTAGGGCTGTCACTTTTAGGGTGAGAGGCTGGGGCTGCAGGCTTGGTTTTACCAGGATCTTGCCCGTGTGTTTCATGATCCCATCAATGAATCATAGAGTTCCATTTATCTTATTGTGAGCCACAGAAAATCTCTTCCTCCAGTTGACTTTTGTCCTTCATCTCCCACCCTCCTGGTCTACCAGTACTACTCAGTAAAATCTGGCACAAGTTCTTTAGAGTCTTTTGAGAGCAGTCCAGAACTAAGTGGTAGGGAATATTCAAACTACTGTTGAAGCCTGTTGGCAGTAATCGGAGAAGAAGACTTTACAACATGCCCTAATACTGCGGGTGGGCCGGTACTGTGGCTCTAAGCTATTCAAGAGTATTAAGTTTTTTTGACTATTGCTATTGATTATTTTAATCCAGTACATATTTTCCACATTTATCCTATCTTGGAGTAAAAGTAATAGAAAACATTTCCACTCAAAAAGAAAAAAGAGCTCTTATGAGGATCAAGAAGAAAGCTAGAAAAGCACTTTCCAGCCCTCAATGTGGCTGTCAAGGGCAGCTTTGTTTCCCTGGCACATGACCAGGTTTCTGTTGAACAGGGAACCAACCTGCTGTCTCTATTACTCCTAATTAGAGTTTTCTCCTGACTATGAGTATATTAGGTGACTCACCATAACAGAGATGTTTC